TTAATTAAAATATTTTGAATATAAAAGAAAATAATAGTCTTACTTTAAAGATGCATATATTTATCATTTTAACGGTTCGCAGATTTTTTTTAGCCCTTTGCGTTAATCTAAAAAAAACTATTAATAAAAATTGATCTTTGTTAAATGGGTAGCAATCATAAATATTTCCGAAACATTTTCTTTTGAAGCAAAATCAAAATTACTTTGAGTTTTTTAAATAAAAGTATATGATTTTTTTAATAATATCATTAGATATTATTAACATTCGATTAATTTAAACTCCTTAAATTTCCTTAATAATCATGGGAGACATTGAGATGAATTCAACAAGTACAGAATATAACACTTTATTCGCATACTATTTATTCTACTACTACTGCTTCTACTTTAACTGATGTAAATTTAGAATTTGGTATACAAAAATGTTACATTCTGTTGTACTTGATGAATTCGTCTTGCAGTAACCTACAATATTATAAATGTATAAAAAAGCATATAATTCTACATGAAAAACTCAAAGTAATCTTCGTACTGTTTCGCAAGAAATGTTTATGAAATATTTATTGTTGCTTTATGTAACCTATTGGACACAGATAATCTTTGTTAATAACATTTTTTTCATCACATCGCAAATTTAAATCCAGGGTGTCTCATTTTAATTTATTAATGCAAATATTTCGGAAAATACGTAATGAGATGAATTTAATTGTATCATTTTATACATGATTTTATCGTAAAATAAGGCAATAAAGCAAAGCTTCATTATACAATTATATCCAAAATATATTCCAAATTTCATTATACAATTAAATAAAATGACACCGCTTTTACTATGCTGTTGACATCAGCAATCTCTGTCATAAATTTTATACTGATGTTTAGAAGAATTTTTTTGCTTTATTTTACAAATTCTTCAGTAAAGTTGTACGTAAAATGATATGATTGAATTCGCCAAAGAAAATATACCATGTAGTATAACAAAAACGTAAATGATCTCTATCAGACTTTACTGCTTACACTCAATAAACCTTTATCTACCTATTATAATATCCGTTTCAAATTTCAATAATCCCTGAAAACACTTTCTTCTGCACAGTGTACTTTCCCAAAATATTTACATACATAAACTAAAGTGGGATACATTGAATATTAATTTTAATTTTAAAGCAAAAAATAATTATTTAAAAACATTTTACATTTGGATTTGTAGCTAAAAGTCCACAAACAGCAAACCCATATCCAATAGTTTTACCACATTTTGCTGTTCCAATTGCTATTATATCTGAACCATTTTGTAAAGCAGGCCAAATACATGATTGTATTTTCCTTGGTTTAGATGACTGTACCAATGATTTCCAAGCCTTCAAAGTACAATATAAATTAATTTTTTCTATCCTAATAATAATTTTATCACATAATCATACCTTATGTATTTCTGCTGGAAATTTTGCATCAAAAGTAGAATTCAGGCATTCATACTTATCTACTCCATAGGTTATTACTTTTTCTTTATCTCTTTGAAGCTCATCATGCAAATTCTTTTCTTTTTGGAATTTTGTCTGTTTTTCATAACTATTATAAAAAAAATTTAATAAAA